GTCCCCCGAGGCACCTTAGAACAGCACGGTGTATTCACAGGGGCACCACAGGATGGCTTCCATTTCCAAGGTTAACACAGCAACATCTGCCAGACTCGACTACTGAGTTGTGAGGATCTAACCACTTATAAAATCACTGTTCTGGGGGTGCCTGGGTGGCTCAGTGGGTTAAAGCCTCTGCCTTCAGCTCGGGTCATGATTCCAGTGTCCTGGGATCGAGCCCCGCATCGGGCTCTCTGCTCATGGGGGAGCCTGCTTCCTCCTCTCTCTCTGCCTGCCTCTCTGCCTGTGATCTCTGTCTGTCAAATTAAAAAAAAAAAAAAAAAAAAAAAACACAACAACACTGTTCTGTATTTCCTTTGATTTAAGGCATCATGAAAAACTACTAAGACACTAAGGGCACCATGAACCGAGATGGTTTGGGAACCTGTGCTCCACATGATCATGTCTCTGGCCTCATCTACAGCTGCCCCTTACTCTCCCCACCACTCCACTCCACCACCAAGGCCTCCTCAGCCATGCCTGGAACACTCCTGCCTTGGGGCCTTTGCACTGCCTGGTTCCCCCACCTAAGAAGTGAGAAACAAACCTAAATGAGTGGCTAACTTCTATACCTCCTTTAAGATGTGCTCAAATGTCACCTCCTAACATGAGGTCCTCACTCACTGTCTGCCTTAGTCAGCTCTGGCTGCCATAACAGAATACCACCAATGAGTGGCCTAACCAACAGTTTACTTTCTGAAGGCCTGAAGTCCAAGATTAAGGTACTAGTCAATTAGGATTCTGCTCAGGACTCTTCCTAGTTTTGCAGACATCCACCTTCTTGCCTTATCAGCTGCAGGGGCCCAGGACAGGCTGCCTCAAGACTGGCCACTTAGGCATAAAGATAGTTTTGAGTTAAAAGTAATAAAAACCCAACAGATTCAGGAAAAGCTCTCTGCTCCCCTACCCCACAGCTGCCTAAATTTACATCAGAAAAGAGAGCCTAAAACAGACACTCCCCTTCACCTAAGAACTTAACTGCATAAAAGGGCAACCTTGTTTCCCCAGACATCTCCACTCTTCTCCCTGCTAATGAGCTTCTCTTTGTATCCCCAGGCACTACCCCTCTCCTTAGCTCATGTAAGCTTCCTGTTGCCTCGTTGTCTCTGGAATTTGCTGCCTGTGTGGACTCTCTGTACTTATGCCCCTTAAATTTCATTTTCTCTTGTTAATCTGTCACATGTCAACTTGATCTCGGTCCAGCTAGGACCATAGCACAGGGGAAGGTCTCCCCCCTCCCCCCCACACTTCATACAGCTTTTCCTCAAAGCAAGAGCACAGAGAGCTCTCTGGTGTCTCTTCTCATAAAGACATTGATTATCTGGGATCCAGATTCCCCCTACTTTATTATCTCATTTCACCTTAATAACCTTCTTTAGCGGCCATCTCCAATTACAGCCGCATTGGGGGGTCAGCCTTCAACAGAGGAATTTTGGGGAGGACACTCAGGCATACCACCCCCTACCTTAAACTGTAAGCCCCTCCCACCCCAACACTCCTTTACCACCCCCCACCATGTTTTTCCCCCACAGGCTCTACTTTTTTCACATAGTCTACACATATCCAGGTTCTAGTACACTGTTTAATGTACAGAATGAAACTCTTAAGGAGAGAAGTCTTTGTCTCCTTCAGGCACCTGTGTGTCACAGACCAGAGCCTATGACGTAGGAGGCACTCAGAAACTACTTGTTGAACAGTAAGCTAAAGCATGAAAGAAAACATCCCCTCTTCCTCACCCCTTGCTCCTTCTCGTCTTTTTGTACATCACTAAGGAAAGAGAAACACGCCTAAATAATCAATCATAAGTTCTGGTTGCCAAGTGGAACGAAATCAGCTCTCCTGAAACTAATTACATTGCCGGAGAGTCGCTTAACTTATGGGACTGTTTCTTCACATGAAGAATGGAAATTGTCCGTCTTGGGTTCACCAGAACAGACATGCAATGCCGTGGGCACCACAATAAAACACCACAGGCTGGGGTGATTTGTAAACAGACAGGTACTGCTCGCAGTTCTGGAGGCTGAAGTCTGAGATCAAGGCGGGGACATGGTCGGGTAAGGGCCCTCTTCGGGGTCACAGACTTGGATCTCAGCGGTGGACGGGCCAGGGATCTCACAGGAGCCATGTTTATAAGGGTGCTAAAGGCCCACCTCCTAATGCCAATGCACTGGGCACGAGGATTTCAGCATACGAGTTTGGGAATGAGATGGGGAGGACACAAACATTCAGACCATAGCCCTGGGGGATTTGAACAAATCAGTCCCGCCTTCCTGAGCCCCCACCTTCTTTCCTGCTTTCCTGTACAATTTGGATACCATCACCTTGAAGCTGTCAGGGACCAAGAATATCCTGTCCCTACCAACAGTGTAAGAGGGTTCCCCTTTCTCCACATCCTCTCCAACATTGTTTCCCGTCTTGCTAATTTTGGCCATTCTAACTGGTGTAAGGTGGTATCTCAATGTGGTTTTAATTTGAATCTCCCTGATGGCTAGTGATGATGAACATTTTTTAATGTGTCTGATAGCCATTTGTATGTCTTCATTGGAGAAGTGTCTGTTCAGATCTTCTGCCCATTTTTTGGTATGATTATCTGTTTTGTGTGTGTTGAGTTTGAGAAGTTCTTTATAGATCCTGGGTATCAACCTTTTGTCTGTACTGTCATTTACAAATATCTTCTCCTATTCCGTGGGTTGCCTCTTTGTTTTTTTGACTGTTTCCTTGGCTGTGCAGAAGCTTTTGATCTTGATGAAGTCCCAAAAGTTCATTTTCTCTTTTGTTTCCTTTGTCTTTGGAGACATATCTTGAAAGAAGTTGCTGTGGCTGATATCGAAGAGGTTACTGCTTATGTTCTCCTCTAGGATTCTGATGGATTCCTGTCTCACGTTGAGGTCTTTTATCCATTTCGAGTTTATCTTTGTGTACGGTGTAAGAGAATGGTCAAGTTTCATTCTTCTACATATAGCTGTCCAATTTTCCCAGCACCATTTATTGAAGAGACTACAGCCACTTTGGAGAAGTGTGGAGATTCCTTAAGAAATTAAAAATAGAGCTTCCCTATGACCCTGCAATTGCACTACTGGGTATTTACCCCAAAGATACAGATGTAGCGAAAAGAAGGGCTATCTGTACCCCAATGTTTATAGCAGCAATGGCCACGGTCACCAAACTGTGGAAAGAACCAAGATGCCCTTCAACAGATGAATGGTTAAGGAAGATGTGGTCCATATACACTATGGAGTATTATGCCTCCATCAGAAAGGATGAATACGCAACTTTATCAACATGGACAGGACTGGAAGAGATTATGGTGAGTGAAATAAGTCAAGCAGAGAGAGTCAATTATATGGTTTCACTTATTTGCGGAGCATAAGGAATAACACGGAGGACATGGGGAGAGGGAGAAGGGAGTTGAGGGAAATGGAGGAGGAGATGAACCATGAGAGACTATAGGCTCTGAAAAACAACCTGAGGATTTTGAAGGGGTGGGGGGTGGGAGGTTGGGGAGGTGATGGGTATTATGGAGGGCACGTATTGCATGGAGCACTGGGTGTGGTGCAAAAACAATGAATTCTGTTACGCTGAAAAGAAAAAAAAAAAAAGAATATCCTGTCCCCTTCAAAGGTCCTTCAGGCTGGTCTAAGAACCAAGTGGACACCGAAACAGATTAACAGGGTATCAAATTTAATAATACACGTATGGGGAATCCACACAGACATGGAAATTCCAAAGACAGGCAAAATGAGCTACATAAGTCATCCCGAACTAAGGAGCAGGGGGTAGGGGTCTGGGTTTTCGAAGAGAAAACATAATTCACAGGCAATAGAAGAGCAGATGTTTGGTAATTCGGTGTTTGCCCTGTCATACAGATGGGTCATTCAGATAAAACTTCTCTGCTAATAACCCTTATTCTGGGAAAGATGCCCACTTTAGATTCTTCTGTGTAGTTAAGAGAGGGGCCCAAGTTTCTCTTGAGCCCATGGGGTCTTGCCTGCCTTCAGCTCAAAATATGCATCTGGCCCAAATGGCCCATTTGGGGTGGCTTGCCCTTGGTCCCCACAAAGTACAGTGTCTAGGGTCCGAAAAGTCCCCTCAAATAGTTAAATGCAGAACTGCCAAATGGCCCAGCAACCCCACTCTACCCAAAGAACTGAGAACAGGTCCCCCCACCAATGCTCCCAGCAGCACCAGTCACATCAGCCAAGAGGCAGAAACCATCCACGTATGCATCAACGCAGGAGGGGATAATTGCTGCCTACACAAAGAAATACTGTTAGCCACAGAAAGGAACAAGGTACGGACACCTGGCTCCTTCGTGGGTGAGCCTGGAAAACACGCAGAGTGAGAAGCCAGGCACCAAAGGCTGCACGTTACTGGACTCCACTCACATGACAAATCCAGAACAGGCCACTTCACAGACTGGAAGCAGACTCATGGTTGCCAGGGCCTGGAGGCACGCATGGGGAATGAGAAGCAACCGATCAGTGGGGATGGGGTTTCATTTGGGGTGATGAGTGTATTCTGGACCTAGACGGTGGTGGTGATTAAAGAGCACTGTGAACACACTAAATGCTACTGAATTTTCCGCTTTAAAATGCTTAATTTTGTTATTTGAATTTTACCTCAATAGAAATCTTTTTAAAGAATCAAAAAAACAAGCACTAGGGTGGCTCAGTCGGTTCAGAGTCTGCCTTCGGCTCAGGTCAGGATCCCGGGGTCCTGGGATCAAGCTCCACGTGGGGCTCCCTGCTCAGTGGGTAGCCTGCTTCTTCCTCTCCCTCTGCCTGCTGCTCCCCCTACTTGTGCTCTTGCTCTCTCTCTCTCTCTCAGACAAATAAATAAAATCTTTAAAAAAGAAAGAAAACACTTATCTCGGGCTTTGAGTCCACCCTTTCCCCTGACGGTTGTAGGTTCATCTGTATCTGTATTTAAGACGCGGCTGATGAAAGAAGACGACACAATAAATGAAGTGCATTTATTAGCAAGATAAACTCCAAATGACCACAAGTAGTTCTGCTGCACTTTTGGCAACTGTACAGGAAGAAGGCGTCTCAACAGAATCCACGGGATTTTAGTTACACCACAAAAGGAGTTGTAAGGCAGTTCAATTTGAGGCTCCAACAACAATATCCACGACATAAATGTCACATTCAAAAATAACTCAGGCCCCCCAAACATCCCCCCTATCAACAACCCTCTGAACTGGGCAGGCGGGTCAACAGCCACCGTCAGGGACAGAGAATCGGGAGTCTCAAATGCAATTCGAGATGACACAAATACAAGAGGGGCCCATTCAACACCTCTTAACTCGCATCGCTGACACAGACTGAAGTGCCATCTGCGGGCCTCTACCCTCATGTATCTTTTTTATTTCCCATAAACATTTTACACTGTCCGGGGAGGAAAAATGCACATTGGGAAAGAGGAAAAACAGGACTCGCTATCTCGTACCACAAACAGGGATTACAGAAAACACGGGGCTGGACACAGCCACGCTGAGACAAACGACTCATCTGGCAGGTCCCGAGGAGGCACTGAGATGAAGCTTAAAAATACGCCGGGGTGAGCTCTGTCTTTCCCTCTGTGGTTACCACCTGGATCAGGCTCCCTGAGCTCGGTCGGTTTTTCCCTGTGATCCAGTCATGGAAGGTTCTAGAACAAAGAAGATCAGCTTTACATTTTCAAAGCAAAAATCTGAACACATGCTTCTATTCCCACCAGTGGCTTGGAGGAAGAGGAGAGCAGCAGCAGCCGTGGGAAAAGCCACAGATACACACACCCGGGCCCCTCATAATCTCAATATTCATTCGAATTTCCAAGTGGCAGGATTCAGCGAGATTTTAACTTAAGTACATTTGTATTCTTCTTCATTGTTGGAATCCTTTATAACCCAGCACTGTGATTTTAAGTGACTAAAAAGAAACCTTAACTATTTAATTCTAAGAGATAAGAGATATATTTTACTCTATTACTTTCCTAGAAATTTAAAAGAAAAATTCATTTTTTTTCTTTTTTAAGGAAACAAAAATGGAACACCCACAGCAATGGGCAAAGATACAAAAAACAGACTATTAAAATACAATATATTAAATGCAGGAATGGGGGGGAATTAACGCTCTGTGTGGAAGGAGGGAACCCTGCTTGGGAAGACCTCTAAGAAGATAGAAATTAAAAAGGACACAGCACATTCATGTAAATGTTCGAAAAATTATCAGCTACTTGTTATACCTAACAGTAACCTGACCAGAGCTGACATTTAATGTCAAGTCATTCGAGGGCCCACCCTTGACAGCTGAAGAATCCGAGAGCCTTATTACATGAGCCCAAAGACCAAAGCACGGCTGAAACTCCCTGACATAACATCCATGACCCTTCTCTGGGGCCAGGCAGGGCTTAGGGAAGTCTCTGAAGGAGACTGGTTTTGAAGCTGGATGTGTCAGCACGTGTGTGTTACTTACACATGTATCAAACGGTCTTATTTCTTCATCTTCCTCATTAGTCTGCCGTAGACGAGGGAGAACACCAAGCTCCAGACATTCAAGGCACATTTCATGCCACTTTGCCAAGTGAGTTTTCAAATCCCACAAATGGTATCGTGATTTCTGGGACAAAGGAGGGCTATCCCAGCCACCCTCTGTGGATCTACAGCTTGGCTCTAATTCACACACATGACCCCAGATGTTGCATCTAGAACCTAGGTCATGGATGTGGTTGGGAAGTGTTGGCTTTTAAAAAGAAGCTTAAATGCAAAACCCAATTCAAACCCTGGGAGGCAGAAAGAACTGTGGGCCCTATTAAGACCACGGGCTCAGCAGCCACACCCTTCGGCTCAAATCTCGGCTCTGCTATGTGATCTTAGGCACGTTCCTTACTCCCCAGCTTCCAGGCCTCCAAGTCCCCAAACCTTAAATAAAGATAAGAGCACCACCCCCACTGACTTGCTATGAACATTAAATAAGATAATAGTTAAGGGTTTAAAACGGTGCCTGGCACATAAAAAGGACTACTTAAAACTAATCCCAAACATCAGATAAAAGTCCCTGGTATCTCTCAATTTAATGAAAAAGAGATGTAACCTCAGGCCAGAAGCACATCCCAAACCTGGCCCACACCGATGCCAGCAGGGGGAAGGTCAGCCCCAGCTCAGTGAGGGCAGGGACTGCTCCTTATCCATCTCCCTTGCCCAGGGCCCAGCACAGCACCTGGCCCACAGTGGGTGCTTAGGGAGTACATCTTACCACATGGAGAGCTTTGGGGAACTGAGATCTAGACACACACAACAGAGTGAGAAAGCTCACTCTTTCTCTGTGATCTTCAAATGCCACCCAAATTCACAAAGGGCTGAATGGGATTTGGGGAATATAGGACACTTTCTGTAGGTCTGTGTCTCAGTGCTAATTCAGACACAGGAGCCCCGATGTGCCCTAGATCAGCATCTTACCCCCAGACCGCTGCTCCCCTTAGCAGAGATGACAATGTTAACAGGAGTAGAGGTTTACGGAACACCTACTACATGGGTCAGACATCGTGACAAGCCAAGCGTTCCCACATGTAATCCCCCTCACAGTTATGAAGGACTCCATTATACAGATGGGGAAACTGAGGCCTGGAGCAGTGAGACAATGTGCTCAAGCCAGTCAGCTCAAGATTCAGAGGTCAGCACTATCAAGCCCCCTCTGAGATTCACAGGGATGTGTGACACACCCTCGGGGGCCTGGTGACCTCACAGAGCTGTGTGTTAGCTAAGATAACACAGCTTGTCCCCCAGTCTATAAAAGGTGGACAACTGAGGCAGGCAGCTGCCCATATTATGACACCATGTCAGTACTCACTCAACCAGGAACTCCAAGGGCGTCCAGGAACTGAAGTCGGCCTCGGGCATGGATTTCCTATTCATTGGGGTATCCAGGGTCACCCTGCAGGGCACAGACACAGGGCTGTTGTGTGTACCTGCTGGCTCTCAGAATTACAGCCTCCCCATCCTCCTCAGCTGGGAAAATGCACAATGAGCCTCTGGCACCAGGGGTGGCCACACTTACACAGAAAGGTCCCATGAGGACAGTCAGAGGGAAGCCAGGGAGCCCTCCACACTTATAGATATCACGTCCGAACCTAACTCAGGGAGGTGTTTCATGACTCACCCTCCAGGCAGACAGGAACAAAATGAAAAAGTCTCTTTTAAAACACAGTCCTGCCATTTCTTAAGTATAGTCAAATAAACTGCTTCGCTGCTTTTATCTTTACTCCATGCCCTAAAACGTAGCAGACTCGTCTCTCAGGATTTTTTAAGGGTACTAAAAATAATATTCCCTTAAATATGGGAAAAGTCTCATCCTTTGTTTTTGTGGCTGTTTTCTGTAAAACCTCGAGATTTTCAACAAGAAAATACAGAATGCAGACAGGTATGACTCTCCCAAGAACATTCAGACCTCAGGAATCATTCAAAACAGCTGGAGGAGGTCACCTGGGTGGCTCAGTTGGTTAAGCAACTGTCTTTGGCTCAGGTCATGATCCTAGAGTCCCGCATCGGGCTCCCAGCTCAGCGGGGAGTCTGCTTCTTCCTCTGACCTTCTCATCTCTCATTCTCTCTCTCTCTCTCTCTCTCTCAAATAAATAAATAAATAAAAGCTTTTAAAAAAAAAAAACAAAACAGCTGGGGAGCAGGTCACAGACTCACAGAAGCTCACAAGTGAAAGGGAACCAGAAATCCCAGGACCCTCTCGGTTCCAATGTCTACTTTCTAGAACTGCCGGCAAGAGGCAAGCCAGTCGGTGCTAGAATCCTTCCAGCAGGAAGGAACTATACCTCCAAAGCAGCTGCCTTGCCTTGGAACGGCTGACTAGGGACCCTCCTCCTGGTCACAAATAGGAGCATCTCCCAGTTTCCCACATTCTCTCAGACCCCATCCCCTACCACACACAAACACTAAATACAATCTCTCTTCCACTGACCTTATAACTTAAAAGAACTATACGTATCAAAATAAAATGTGTAGGCTACGTTTAATAAGGAGGAACAGAGGGACAGATAGAGGGAAGGAAAAAAAACCCGGAAAGAAAAGAGGCAAGACAAACAGACCCACCCCTCAGCCAATCAACCACTCTGGACAGCCCGGGGACATGCCCAACATCTGAAGAAGCATCTTCAGGGCCTCTGGCAAATTCTAGAAGCCAAGACAACAGCACACACAAGTCCCTGGTGGAAAGCTACTCAAATGTTAACTCTTGGCAGTGGGGCAGAGGTGGGTAGGGACCGGGAAGCCCCACCACTTACGGGAGCACGGCAACCGCTGCAGAGCCAGAAGGCATGCCGCTATTCTTCCCAGCGAGGCTCTGGCACAGCTGGTGTACAGCGCCCTTGGCCATGCCGTAGCCGATCATCCCTGGGGAAGGGGGAGAAAACAGTTCAGTGACCAGTGGCCACCACGAGTGTGTCCAGAGACCATAGCACCAGTCTTGGAGGAAGAGAAGGATGGACACCTGTAGAGAGAAGGAAAGGGACATAATATTCAAGTGTTCCTGTTACTCACCCCACAGTTCACATTTATCATAAAAACCATGAGGTCGATCTTATTTTTACCGCTGACCAAACCGAGGCGCAGACAGGATGCGAAACGTGCCCAGGCTCACACACAGACTTGCTTCGAGGTTAGAGGCCAGGCAAGAGCTGCGTCTAAACCCTCAGATCAATACATGCTCAAGGGCAAGATGGAGCAGTCATCTGGAGAGCAGGCTGCCCAAGTTCAAGTCCCAGCTCCTCCACTCACCGCTAAAGAAATCACAGCCAAGTTTTCAAAACTTTTCTAATCCTGTTACCCCATCTGGAAAATGGGGAGAAACTACCTGACTGTGGGTTCAGCCCAGGACAGGTGCTCAATAAATGTTTCCCGTCAAAGTGACAGCAGTAGTGTGCCCCACTCACTGTTTATAAGGAATAGCAGTTGAACAATTCTCACATTTTAAGGATACACACAATCTATTAATCTTCCTTTCCTCCCGCCTGGTTGGTGAATGTTTGCTGAATGAAGCAAGGCATGCATTTCACTAGGTCCGGTTTCCGTCTGTCCCACAGGTGGCAAGAAACCGGTCTCTCTCCCCAATGGGACCCAGCTGTAGATTCTCTCTAACCAACAACAACCAAGTAAGTAAACACCTCTCCTCCTTCAAAAAACCACTGTTTCTTCTGGAGATCAGCAGCCTTCTTAGAAAAACTCAGCAAGCATGCTGTTCAAGGTATTAACAGACGAGAAGGCCATCAAAAATCCAGGGGAGGTGGGGACCACAGCCCAGCTAAGGAACCAATCACTGCGCTCTCCAACAGCAACCTTGAATTGCAAAAGAGGGTCAAGGTCTCAAAGCGCTACTGAGAAGCACAAGAAGATTTCGCCATCTCTGGCTTCTCTGTCTCATCTGGGAAAGGAAACCAACAATGATATAAAGATCTAACACACTCTGCGTGATTAAAATTAACCAGCACACGAATCTTATGCACGCAGCCCCAGGCCCCAGCAGACACGCAAGGCCCCCTCCTCATTCCATTCAAACAACACGAAGAAGAAAGAAACCAGCAACCAGCAACAAGCTACCAGAGACCCTTATGACTTAATTCCACAGGATTCCACACAATGTAGGTAAGGGGATCATTTGCAAGATGCATTCATGGAGAAGATAAACACTTTCCTCCCAATTATTAAAATGATCAGTGTAGTCCCTAAAGACTGATTTCCAAACACAGCACAGGTCCCTAGGTGGTAAACAAGTAATCACCTTCCTTCTAATCATTTATCCACCAGGAGATGCTATAGATACAAGCCTGGACACTGAAGGGTGAGGTTTTCTGAGTACTTTTCCAAGAGAAAACTCTCCAATTTTGAACAACCTTTCTTTTTTTTTTTTTTTTTAAGTTTTATTTATTTATCTATTTCAGAGAGAGTGAGAGAGAGAGAGCATAAGCAGAGGGAGCGGCAGAAGGAGAGGGAGAAGCAGGCTCCCCACTGAGCAGGGAGCCTGATGTGGGGCTCGATCCCAGGACCGCAGGACCACGACCCAAGCCGAAGGCAGTCACCCAACCCACTGAGCCATCCAGGCACCCTTTGAACAACCTTTCTTAAAAAAACAAAAACAAAAATCTTTCATGTGCTTGAAGGACCACTAAGCCTGTTCATCATTTACTTTTGGATTATGCATAGATTTCCCCAGATTACTCTGGGATCTGAATCAAATTTAAAAGACCTCATGACTCAAATGCATTTAACAACATCTAACTAAGAACTTAAACATGAACAAGCTTATTAATATACAAAGCAGAAATAGCTGGGCTTTTAACATCAGTCTGAAATAAATAATAATGAAAGTTCACACTGACCACTGACTCTATAATTTAATCTTTCTAAGCCATTTATACCCATTAAGATATTTACAAGTCTCAACTACCACACAGAGGTGGTACAATTATTTATCCCCATTTTACAGATGACAAAACTGAGGCTCAGATAAGTTAAATAACTTGCCAAATACTGCACAGTAAGCGACCAAACCACAACAGAAAACCAATCAGTGTGGTTCCAAAACAATGCAGTCTTAGCCAATATCCAAAACTATAAATAAAAAAGATATTTAAAAGCCAAAATAAAGGAAAAGACTGTTTTGTTCTTTAGAAAAATTAGTCTTTTGGTCATAGGGTTTTCTTTTTTAAATGTCAAGCTATAAACTTACTCATTTCTCTACTCACTTTCTAGTGCCTCTGTTCTATGTCACCTTTAATAAAAATCAGATCTCAACCACACTAACATCTAACATTTACAGAGCTATAATTACTGCAAGAGCCATGGGCGTGTAAGATCACAGGCTCCAAGACATCTAATATGAAAACGAGTGCCAAGAAATTGTTAATTTGTAAGAGCCTCACACTTCAGTGACTTGCATTAAAATTGAAAAAGGTGCTCGAGATCTCTACCACTTACTAAAAAGCACCTCCTCCCCAAAAAACCTCCCTTCCTTTTTTTAAGAGAAGAGCTTACTTAGGTAGCAGAGGGAGACACTTTCTGCCTCTCTGTGCTGTTCCCCTACCCCACTTAAATTTCATTAGCCTTATCCCAAAGGGAGGGTTATGGATTGACTTGTACCCCCAAAATTCATATGTTGGAATCCTAACCTGTGGTACCTCAGAACGTGACTGTATTTGGAGACAAGGTCTTTAAAAGGGTCATGAAGTTACAATGAGGTCTTTGGGCCCTAAAGTAATGTGACTGGTGTCCTTACAAGAAGAGGGGATCAGGACAGACACACAAAGGGAAGACCACAAGAGGACACAGGGAGCAGCCGTCTGAAAACCAAGGAGAGAGGCCTCAGAAGACACCTAGCCTGCCGACACCTCTGTCTCAGGCTTTCCAGCCCCAGGAACTGTAAGAAAATAAGTTTCTCTGTTTACCCCTGAGGCCACAGTCCACTGTCACGGCAGCCCCAGGAAACGAAGAGGAAGGAAAAACGCCAAGGAAAACTCGCATCTGTGTGGTGTAAGAGAAAAGATACACAATTTAGAAAGGATCAGGGTTTTGGTTCAAAGTAAATCTGCAGTTCACTGATGCCATCATGACCCATCACTTCACTGAACTTCCAGTCTGCCTGCCTGTAAAAGGCAAGAGAAGAACTACCCACCTCAGGATTCAGTGAGAATATACACAAGAGGACAGGAGCAGCTGTAAGAGGGCTGGGCCCGTGCTGGGCACTGGATATGCGTCCATGCCTCCAATGCCTCATGGCTACACATCGGTGTGGCATTACTGCCACTTACAGTGAGAAACTACAGCAGAATTTGGTCAAAGACATCAAAGAATCTGTTCAAAGCCCCTCGGCTCTGGTGGAGAAACCACTGCTGGCTTCTCTTACCCCACAACCCCCATTTCCAGAGGCTGAGCTGCTTCCCGGGGACATGCAGACACTCTGCCATGAAGATAAAACTTGTTTATTAACTGATCAGTATCTGGCTCAGCACCATGCCTTGAAGGGTAGATCTCTGACACGGGAAGCCGGTGGGAATGCCAGATTACAGGACTCTGTCCCCAGACCAGCATGAAGACAATGCACCTAGAAGGGTCAGGAGTCCTCCCCCTATAAAGATCCAGGCCTCAAGGAAGCCAACTCCACCCAGCTGTAAAGCATCTTGGAGGGTGAGGGGCTCCCAGGTCCCTGACCTCAGGGACGCACCCAGCAGCCCAGGAGGGAAGGGGGAGTGCTCCCTTTTCACAGACTGGGAAATGAAGGCTTACCTGGAGTCCCATCCAGAGCAGCCTTGGCACCAGCCAAGGTCAGGAGGCCTCCTTCCTTGAGGTGCCTGGTGGCCAGGTGGCTGGAGATGGTCGACGTCCATATGCTTTGCTTCCACATCAGGTCACAGTTTTTAAAGAGAGCTGAGTGGAGAAAGAAAAACATGTGAGCTCGGCATCTGCAGGAAAGACAGTGGAAGGTGAGTTCCACTCATGGCGTCACGAGGCCCCAACAGCGACTCCTCCCCTCCTTGTCCCCAGCGACAAGGTCCAGTCCAAACGGCACAGGGCCTGTAGTCAGAGACTTGAGTTCGAAGCCAGACCACAGGATTACCGGAGTCTCAGCTTCCTCAATGTTAACTAATACTCTGGATTGGCTCTAACTAAAAAATTGTTTTCTTTATAAAGGGCAAGAGACTCAGAGTAAGAACCTGTAAGTCTAAGTCATGTTCTACCTGGAATAAAAGTCTGAGGGACTAGTAGAGGGATTTTATAGAGCTACATTTTTTATGCCTGAAAGTTTAATGCCAGCTTTAAAGATTCTTTAAAAGAGAGCTGATAAAACAACCACTTCACGCTTATTTTCACCCTCTGGCCTTGCCTGAGATGTGGCGGGGAGTAAGTGCTAATGTACATCCCATCACCCACGAGGCAAGAGAGAAAGAAGCCACAAGCCAGAGAGAAAGGCCTCCTGATACAGGAGGACAGGTCATCAGGCAGAGATAACCTGGGCACTGAATTTCCCAGCTACCAAGGACTAGACCAAAAAAAAAAAGTCATCAATTCTTGTTTCCAAAACACACAAAAGGCTATGAGGGTGTTTTGCCAATCTGATCACTCCACAAAATACCAATTTTACATGTAACTGATTTCACAGAGAAATCAATTCCTTTTTATAGAGCTTTGACTGATACACAAAGAAGGAATGACAGAATTTAAAAACCACGGACTCAGGCAGAGATTATCAATGGAGGCTTAACACCACTAGGTTTGGGGAATTTGAGACCCTCAAGAGGCTTAGAAATAGGACATTCACACACGATGCCCACATAGCATCCCACAATCACTAACTACCAACATGAAAACGTTACCTTCACAATGGCAGTCTGTCGCTACCACCTTAACCGAGCACCCAATTGACATCACTGTGGGTGGCGACATGATCTGACCTCGTTAAGTATCCCAACATGATGTCACATGAAGCACACATCACTCAGGAGGAACACTCACCTCCAAAATATTTAACCTGGATCTAAGTAAGTCTCTTGATCTAAATTCTAGTTCACAGGAAATACCATGGACAAGGGAACAAGGTACGTGACACCTTAAAGAAATGGACAAATTCAGTATGTAGGACAGTCTATGAGAAAAGTGCCCTGAACACACCAAGTCTATCATAGGAAAAAAAAAAAAAAATTCTAGATTAAGGGACTAAAAACAACAAAATGCAATGCACAAACCCTGACTAGAACATTTAGGTGGGGAAAAAAAAATGATACAAGATCTGGAATAAATTAAGGAATCTGAATACAGCCTGAGTATTAGTAATCTTATGGAACCATTATTAATTTTCTTAGGGAGGTCCATGGTATTATGAGAATGTAGGAGAATGGGTTTACTCCCTAAAGATGCATGCCGAAGAGTGGCACAATGTCAACTTACTTTCAAATGGTTAACAAAAAAAATACACACACAGGACACACACACACCAGAAAGAGAGCAGGAGTCCAGCAAATGTTAATTACTGAATCTAGATATGTACACAAATCATAACAAGGAAGAAAAATAAGTAAGTAAATATGTTTTTGGTTATTTTTAAAAGATTTTATTTACTTGACAGAGATCACAAGCAGACAGAGAGGCAGGCAGAGAGAGGGAGAGGAGGAAGCAGGCTCCCTGCTGAGCAGAGAGCCCAATGCGGGGCTCAATCCCAGGACCTAGGGATCATGACCTGAGCTGAAGGCAGAAGGTTTAACCACTGAGCCACCCAGGCGCCCTAGTAAATACGTTTTTAAAAAATGTTTCAGTGTCAGGCAACCATAAAAATTTCGTTAATATTTTATTATTTCCAGATGTTCATGTTTTCAACTAAAATATATTTTCAACTAAAATATATATACATATTAAATTTACCTCCTACACTTATATATAAGTAAGGGCACAGTGCATTCAACTTTTTTTTTAAATTTATTTGACAGGCAGAAATCACAAGTAGGCAGAGAGAGAGGGGGAAGCAGGCTCCCCGCTGAGCAGAGAGCCCAATGTGGGGCTCGATCCCAGGATCCTGAGATCATGACCTGAGCTGAAGGCAGAGACTTAACCACTGAGCCACCCAGGTGCCCCACTTCTTTCAACTTCTGTTCTTTCAACTTCTCTGTATGCTTGAAAATTTCCATAGTAAGTTGAAAAACATATTCAGCTTTATTTTTTTAAGTAACCATTTTTTATTTATTTATTTGAGAGTGAAAGAAATCGAGAGACAGAGCACCACGGAGGGGGGAGGGGCAGGGAAAGGGAGGAGCAGACTCCCTGCTGAGCAGGGACCCTGGGAGCAGGGACCCTGGGATCATGACCTGAGCCTAAGGCAACCGACTGAGCCATCCAGGTGCCCCTATACTCAGCTTTAATACACACACAGTTTTGAGTCTGACTTTCAGAAGGATCTCTCCATTTCTCACATATCCTCCAGTTCCCAGTAAGAGGCCCTGAAAGATTAGGGTGGACACAATGTTGATTTCTTTCTGCTTCTATTCTAAACTTCAAACTCAACGTCCCTTTTCCCTAACCCTCTTTTATGGGAAGTTTTTCCTTTATCTGTCACATGGGAGGTTAATCCCTACCTCTCCGAGCTATTGCAAAGCTTCTGGGAGAATACAGAAAACATGTGGCCCGGCACACGGGATGGACCCAATCCGTGCCAGCTGGACAAAGAGCAGAGTGGAATGAATGATTAATGCAGAAAAAGACTCACACTTGGATTTGGCGTTGCCTCCAGCCCAGCCTCCAGCCACACAAAGGATCGCGTCCACCTTCTCCTCACCCAAGAGCTTTCCGACCTCAGCAGTCACCTTAAACAAAGCGGACAAAAAAGTGCATAAACCGTCAGGTAAACCTAAACAAGCTAACATCTTCATGGACACCTCTGTTTATTTTTCACTTCGTTTCAAAGTCAGTTAACAGCACTGGCAATGAACACTTTGAAAGACTGGATGCACGACCAATCTACAATAAGCATTTTGGATAAAGAAAATTCAATGTGATTTTTACAAAGCAATCTAGAGTCTTCTCTGGAGCATCCTGAAGGGCTGGGACCTAAGCATGCCTCGAATAAAACAACGGGAGTAAAGTTAGGAGAAGGCTTTAAAATTTAAAGAATTCACCGAGAGCTTCACTGCCCACAACTAACCTTCTGGTGTATTTCTTTCCAGACTTTCTTCACGCATCACAGAAACACTATCTGAGATAATCAATTCTTTTCTCCCCTCCATACAAAAATCCCCAGAAGTGCAACTCCAAATCAAAATGCCAGTGAAAAATTATATTTTTTAAAAAGAGCAATAAAAAATAACTATACTTCAATTAAAAAAAATAAAAATAGTCAATGGCAAAATGTTGGTCAATACCAGATACATGGTGTTCATTTATCTCTCTACTTCTGTTTGAAATTTTTGAAGTGTTGAAAATATACACTGTCCTTTTGTTACAATTTATCAGAACAAAAATCTGGCAAGACAGGCAATTCTGGCCATCAACCACATGACCCTTTCGCACTTCTCTAGAATGGCTAAGATGACCTGACCCAAGTGGCAAGTGTTACCAATGGCAACATTTCAGTCCCCCACCTCTTTCCCCATCAATTTCTAAGGACTCCAATCACTGCCTCCAAGAGAAGGGTTGGGCAATGGAAACCAATCTCCCTACGCCCCATACCTACATCTTTCCTCTTAAGAAATTCCTGAATTTCCCTTGGTCTCTACTCACGAGTGTCTCACCTAATCCTGCCTTACGTTTGTCGACCTTCCTCCTATTACGCTGGTTGCCAGGCTGCCCCGGCCTCTCATTCTTAAACCAAGTCCTGTTACCAAGAGCCCAGATCCCAGCTGCCAGACGTTGGAGATCTTCCAATGTCCATATGTACACACAGCCCTGTGCATGTTCTACTCTTCAGGGAAGTATGGAGCCCACAGAAACAATGCGCCTGTTTGACTTGTTTTTACATTTGTGCATTTTAAAATTTCTCCCCCTTCAATTTTACTCTCTGCCCAATAGTTTTCCAAAGACTTAATGCCTTTAAGGGTGCCTGGGTGGCTCAGTCGGTTAAGCCGCCAACTCTTGATTTCAGCTCAAGTCATGATCTCAGGGTTGTGAGAGCAAGCCCCATGTGAGATTCTCCCTCTCCCTCTGTCCTCTCTCCCAAAAGAAAAAAGAAAAAAGAAAAAAAAAAAGATTTAATGCCTTTCTCACATCTTATCTCCTCACTGTCTCTAGTGAATTTCCTGCCTCAGGGGTCAATTTTACTCATATTAGGATTGAATTTCCTTTTCTGAAGCCTTAAAAACAAAAACTGGATGTCATGCCGTTTACCCAGAAATTCTTAACTAAGTGAGTGGCGGTTAGGGAGGGTTAAAGGTTTTAAAGTCTGAACTTGTAATAACTAAGGCATTGCTCCATCTTTCTCTTTAAAATGCACTGAGGTGCCTGGGTGGCTCAGTGGGTTAAAGCCTCTTCCTTCAGCTCCTCAGGTCATAATTCCAGGGTCCTAGGCTCTCTGCTCAGCGGGAAGCATGCCTCCCCCTCTCCCTCTGCCTGCCTCTCTGCCTACTTGTGATCTCTGTCAAATAAATAAAATCTTTAAAAAAAATTTTTTTTTAATAAAATAAAATAAAATGCACTGTCAAGTCTCAGATGGGGTCAATTTCAAAAACGCACATGACCTCAAAACCCTGCAATTAACAGGAAGAGACAAGACAATGAACACAGAAGAGCTGCCGATACCAAGCCCAGGTGCTTCCTTGCATTTACTTTGGCTCTCATTACTTGGTTCACATGGAGCTACGTTGCTGAGAGGCAGCTTAGCATGGAGTCAAGAGCGCAGATATCAAACCCCATTGCGCCGGTTCAAATCCCAACTCTGCCACCTCCTGCCTGTTTGACCTTGAGCAAATGCCAAAGCTTTTCTCTGCTTCAAATTCCCCATTTTGAAAAGAGAGATCAATCAGAAACTTTGTTTTGGGAGTGTAACAGAGATTAAGCAAGTTAAAGTGAATCAAGCACTTAGACCAGAGCCTGACATATAACATTGCCTAGCTGGGTTTTATTATTAAGCCCATTAAGGCCAACAGGTAATCACTGGGTTCAGCAAACATTAGGATCATGTCAAGAAAAGTAAGAACAAAAACCTATATTCTGGAATAAGTCAGCTGGCTTTTTGCATCCTAACCTCTGTCAAACAGATGCTGTAGAAAGAGCAAATGAGCAAGACAGTATGCTCAGTTTGGATTATTGTTTTTCATTTTTTAGACTTACACATGTGTACATTTGGAGAAATGGATTGGAAGGAAATACTGCAAAACATTAAGTACATAGTGGGGCTAAAATCCCCCCCACTTCTTTTTGCTTTACTTAATTTTCTACATCATACATGTATCACTTTTTTTTAAGATCTTGTTTTTTTAAGATCTTATTTATTTGACAGAATAGAAAGAGAGCAGAAGCAAGGGGAGTGGAAGACAGAGAGGGAGAAGCAGGCTCCCTGCTCAGCCTGATGTGGGGCTCAATCCCAGGACCCTGAGATCACAACATGAGTAGAAATCAAGGGTCAGATGCTCCACCAATGAAGCCATCCTGGCGCCCCGATAAGTCCCTTATTAGAAAATCCATGCTCCGGGGTGCCCGGGTGGCTTGGTGGGTTAAAGCCTCTGCCTTTGGCTCAGGTCATGATCTCAGGGTCCTGGGATCAAGCCCCGAATCAGGCTCTCTGCGCAGCAGGGAGCCTGCTTCCTCCTCTCTCTCTCTGCCTGCCTCTCTGCCTACTTGTGATCTCTGTCTGTCAAATAAACAAAATCTTTTAAAAAAAATAAAAGAAAATCCATGCTCCTTATCCACCACCAGCCAGCCTGTTCGCCATGTCACTTAAATGTCTGAAACTCGGTCTCCCAAGCTCCAACATGGGTCTATCCCCACCTGCCCACCTGCTTCACAGAGTGCTCACAGAAGTATGGCACACCACACAAAGAACAATGTGGAGATCTCCTTGGGAATGTGGGCTATAGCGCCAGCATGAGAACCACAGACAGCACAGTCCCCCAAACAGCTTGTGGGAACAGCTCTTCAGGAAAGACTAGACCACTGAGGGGCTTCTCTGATATTTACACCAAGATGGCCATCAACTTGTCAACAGTGTTCCTTCCAGGCAGCGGCAGGATCATGGGGAGAAACGGGTATTTCACTGTTTACTTACATATTTGTTTGACTTCTGGTTTTCAATAAGCTATCAGTTTATAATTTAAAAAAACCTCTTTTGTTAGTATTCATGCTTTGAACTGGGGAGCTCCACTTTTTAGAATGCATCCTAAGTAATCAGAGATGGAGACAAAGATGTTCACAGGATTCTTGGTAACTTAAAAAAGAAAAACTACAAAACCCTTACATGTGCAGGAAGTGGAAACTAAGAAAATTAAAAATCACACGCCGACAGCGTTGTTTTTTTTAAGATTATTTATTTATTTATTTGCCAGAGATCACAAGTAGGCAGAGAGTCAGGCAGAGAGAGAGAGAAAGAGGGGGGAAGCAGGCTCCCTGCTGAGCAGAAAGCCCAATGTGGGGTTTGATCCCAGGATGCTGGGATCATGACCTGAGCCTAAGGCAGCGGCTTAATCTATTGAGCCAGCCAGGTACCCCCAGAGGGTTTTTTTTAAAGTGACTGAAGTATTTAAATAAAGTGTTATGTCAAAAAAAAAAAAAAAAAAGCTCACCATGAAATATAAAATACAAGATTATCTCAAATTATGAAACTAAAAACATATAGTATGCATAGAAAAGACAAGAAAATGGGCCAAGGGACGCCTGGGTGGCTCAGTCGGTTAAGCCACTGCCTTCAGCTCAGGTCATGATCCCAGGGTCCTGGGATAGAGTCCTGCATCGGGCTCCTTGCTTGGTGGGGAGCCTGCTTCTCTCTCCGCCTCTGCCTGCCACTCTACCTGCTTGTGCGTACTCTCTCTCTCTCTGACAAATGAATAAATAAAATCTTAAAAAAAAAAAAAGGGAAAGAAAATGGGCCAAAACGTGAATAGTGAGCTAACCAGAAATGGGTTATGAGTAATTTATCTTCTTTGCATTTTTTTTTTGTTTTTACTTTTTCCAAATTTCCCTCAATGAGCTCAAATGGCTTTCCATAAGTAGAGAATACTAGTTGAAAAAAAAGAACATTCACCAGTGGAAACCACTCCCCCTCCCCCTCCATGGTCCCCCTACCACAGTGCTTGCAAACGTGGGGGTCCTTTTCTGGAATTACCTGGTCAGCCTGCTCTGTGAACGAGTCTGTCATTTTAACCACAACACTGGCACTGGCTTCTTCATTCTCCACCACATCGATGCTGGCAACCCACTAGCATGAAGAGAAAACAGCTTTGGTCAAGAGACAGTAAGCTATAATTCCATTAAAGATCCACACCCAGAAATGGGGACAATGGAGACAGGTAAGAGGCTTAAAAAGAAAACCCACTGGAGAAAGGATCTCACTCCTGACCTCCCGCCATCCTTACAGGGACACCTGGCTTCAGTCAGCCTACCCATGACCAAGCCCCAGCCTAGCCCAGCCCATCGGCCTCCAAACACCTCACCTTCTTCCTCCCCTCTCACCTCTGAAGCCAAACCGTCTACCTCCAGAGACCCCCTAGACCAGGGGTCTGCATAAATCTTCGTCTGTAAAGGCCCAAACATTTTGCTGGTCATACAGTCTGTGTCGAAAGGCTCAGATCTGCTATTTAAACCCCAGAGCATCCACAGACAATTTAGATAAACCAACAGGCGTGGCTATGTCCGGATAAAACTTCAGGCACTAAAACTCCAGAAACGTGAATTTCATGTAATTTTCACATGTCACAAAATAGTATTCTTTTCATTTTTCTCCCCCCACCAACCATTTAAAAATGTGAAAACAATCTTAGATCATGAGGTGTACAAAACCAGATGGCAAGCCAGATCCGGCCCTTGGAGGGCTAGAGTTTTCAGACCCCTGTCCTCAAGCACAGAGGAATGGCTTTGGGTCCTCATCCCACAAACTAGTGCCTTTCTCATGCCTGTTCATTGTTAACAATTAACAGGGTTAGCGTGAAAATTAACTGCAAGAGCTCCTGGCATGGGTAACACCCAGTTCTTTCTCAGAAAGTTCCAGTGACCCAAGGTCTGCAGGCCCTACAGATAGATATCTCTACCACAAGCTTTGAAGAACACAGCATTCATTCAAGAACACTTACTACTTCTATGTCACCAGCCACAGGGGATACAGACACAAAGAAAAGGTTGTATCCCAGCCCCTCCCTCCCAGGGCTCCTAGAAATGAAGAGATAGGGTAGGGGAGACAAGTAGAGAGGTCAATCAGCTTGCCAGATTGTGCCAAGTGCCCCCAACCAGGGGAACCCACAAGCCTCCCCTCTTGAATACACAGATACCAACAGAATCCACCATATTCAAGTCTGGGAAAGAGCAAACGAAATTAAGAGTATATAGGAACACAGTGTCTAGCCCGCGGCCAGCACTCCTTACCTGTTCCCACTCTCACCTCCGCAGACCTTGGAAGACGCCTCAAAACAGTCTTCCCAGGTTCAGAGTAGAAGCCGGTGGTGCATTTAGAATCTTTTCTAAGTCCTATACCAGATTCTGAACGAGAAGGAAACTCTCTCCCTCGTTCCTGGGCACCCTGGCCCAAGCTCCTGCGGCTACTAACTAAACCCCCCAGATGAAGCTCCCCAGAGCTCCACGACATTTTGTGCAAGTGACAGCTGCAGCGAGAAGACACAGGGCGGACCTCCACCAGGAATGTGCTGAGCCCTGCCTGGCGGCTGGGGTCAAGGTCTCTGACCACAGATCAGTTCCACTCCTACTTGCTTCCTGCAGGGAGCATTACCCGATTATGCAAAGTAGTTGAAATCTTTTCAAAACGAAGAAGCCACCAGCATTTGCAGCGCCCAGCCTTCAAAATACCACGTCCAAGGCTGGCTAAATGATGGGGTTAATTCCAGTAATACTAATAGCTAATCTTTCAACAGCTTACCACGAGTCAGGTACTTTAAATGATCTCATTCAATCCGCACAACCCCCTAAGGGACAGCTACTAACAACATCCCCATTTTACAGATGGGGAAACTGAGGCTCGAGGGCGTTAAGCAGTAAGTTCACGATTTTAGAGGTAGTAACCCGTGCCAGGCAGCCAAATTCCAGAACGTCCTTCTCACCGTCTCTCCCTGTACCCTCAAACCCGCTCCTCTTCATTCCCCTCTGGAATTCTCTCCGGAGCCATCCCTGACTTGCAGGGCCCGGCGGAGACCGAGCGAGCGGCCCCATCCCCCACCCCCTTGCAGAGCAAAGGCCGGCACCTGGGGCGTGAGCACGCACTCGTAGTCAGGAACAGCAGACTTGTGCAAGCACGTGCAAGCGCTCCTGTTTTGGGGCGCGCAGGGGCTCCGGCTTCGTCCGGTCAGCCCTCCCGGGCTAAACGGGCAGGGCCCTCTGCTCCCCAGTCATCTGCGTTCCCGCCCGCTACCGCCACCGGAGACCCGGCTGAATTACCCAGTTGCGGGCCCGGAACGCCTGCACGCATCTTGAGCCCAGCGCGCCCCTGCCGCCGTACACCAGCACCCGGCGCGCCTCGCCCGCTGCCGCCGCCATCCTGCTACTCCCGCCGGGCTCCCGAAGCTCAGAATGCCCCGAGCCCGAACGCTGCGCCCGGGATCGCCCGGCCCCGCCCCGGCCCGCCCACCGACCCCGCCAAGAGGGACCGCGTGGCAGCCAACCCCGCGTGGGGCCCGCTGCTGCCGCCTAGCGCGCGGCCACGCTGAGCGAGTATCTACACCCTGCAGGTGCGCCAGCAGAGCCCCGCGGCCCGCCCGCCTCTAGGTGCCAGGCACCCGCGGTGTGCAGGGCGCAGGGCTAAGGGTGGGGAGGGTGGAGAGCAGGTGTGCGCTCACGATGTTGAGAGTCCACTGGGGACACAAACAAAACCATGTATATATTTTACCTTTAAGTAAGAGTGCAGGCAATAATAATAATAATTTTAAATAAATAGATAGATATATTTTACCTTTAAGTAAGAGTGCAGGCAATAATAATAATAATAATTTTAAATAAATAAATAGATAGATAGATAAATAAATAAATAAATGGTGCAGGCTCTGAAGCTCCACGGCCTGGCTTCCCTGTTTAATAGCTGAGTGCTCCTAAGCAAATTGCTTAACTGCTCTGTGCCTCAGTCCCCTCTTAGTGAAATGGGAATACTAATGGTCTGTCCTCCTAGAGTTCTGGAAAGGATTTTTTAAAATAATACTAGAATACTGTGCAAGTGACAGCTGCAGCGAGAAGACACAGGGCGGACCTCCACCAGGGCGGAGCCACCTGGGTGGCTCAGTGGGTTAAAGCCTCTGCCTTCCACTCAGGTCATGATCCCAGGATCCTGGGATAGAGCCCCACATCGGGCTCTCTGCTCAAGCAGGGAGCCTGCTTCCCCCTCTCTCTGCCTACTTGTGATCTCTATCAAATAAATAAATAAAATCTAAAAAAATATACTAGAATACTTAGAGCAGTGTGTGGCCAGTAGTAGGAGCTCAATAAATGCCCATTGACATTATTAATATAATTACTTTTGCCACTCCTTCTGTTACCATCACTGCACATCTTAAGAGATTGAGTTTACGAGAAAGAAAATGCCAGGCTCTGTTAGTGGGGCCAGTTGGTACCATTTGGTGGGGCTTCACTGTGGACCTTTAACATTCCTGTCAAATGGGGTCTTACATACGGTCACAGAGGTCCAAGGACCCATTATTGGACTCACATCTTTAACTGTGTCTCTAGCAGACCAAGGCCTGTTGTACCATAAGTAGTCATATTTTTTAGAACTCTTGTAATAATTTTCATGGGTTTTTTTTTCTGTTTTAAAAGCATTAATTTGTGAAGTGTTAAACATTTAAAATATAGTATACTACAATTTTTGTATCACTGTTTTGGCAATATTATACATGTTTGTATCACCCTCTACCCGCACGCAGTATGTCATGCATATAGCAGACATACAGATGTTTGCTCAGTACCCTTGTGCCAGATAAGACACACAAAAATACCTTCTTGGAGAACAGGATGCCAACCGCAACACCATTTATCATCAGAAGCGTCATTACCAAGAACAGAATTACTAGAAGTCTAGATGAGGAGATTAACACCACTTATTTGATGCCCTCTGTATACCGTAATCTGAATGTGCTATTTCATTTTACTTTGTACAACAATCCCATGCCAGATTAGGAAACTGAGGCACCAGAGCCTCAAGCACTTGCCCAGAGGAGTAGGAATTTGAACTCAGGTCCTCAGTAGAGTTATACTTAACGATACTTCCATTCAGCACCTCAAGGGCTTATTGGGAATCATTTGTTTCCCATATTTTTCTAAAATAATCATTCTAAAAATAATTGCTTAATCCCTAAAACACCAATAGTTGACATAGGCCCATCATCTGAGGGAGAAATATGATGCAAAGGTATTGCACAGGTCCAAAGCATGCTTAACATTACTATAAGAATAATAAACGTTATTAGTCATTTATTAATACGCCAACTCCTCTTCTCAGCCTTTTGTATGTCTTCATTACCAGAAAAACATTTGCTATTTCAAGGTCATTGTGATGAAGATGACCTGCTATATTTCAAAGACCTGAACTCCAGCCCCAGCCCTGACATCCAGTTTTCTCATGAGAGGGTTCATCAGGATAGAACATCCCTCGTCCCTTGCCTGCCACGAAGGCTTGTTGCAGCATTGTGGGGACCGGGGCCGGGGGAGACGACAAGCATCTAGTAAAAGCCTTCTGTATGAGGAAAAGATCTACACAAGCTTCAGAGACACTCTTGTTTATTTTCATTATGGAGAGACCACAGAAGTGAACCCCACTATAAGGAAGGAAACTAATGTTTCCATTCCCATGTCCCTCTGGCCCCTCATTGCATTCCAAGTGAGGTTTCTGGAACTCCTGTCCATTAACAATGCAAACTCCTGAACCCCCCTCCAGACCTCGGTGACCAAATAAACAATGTCCTGTGCCACTTCTGCCAAATGCGACCTCCCAAAACTATTGAGAGTTGCTGTTATCAGTCTCACATGACGTCAAGTTGGCTTACAGTAATAGATTAAAAATCAAAATTGAAAAGCCACGGTATAAGATAGAAAGTAGGAAATATTTCATTCCTAGTGGCTATACATTAAAAGAAAACACACACACACACACACACACACAAATTTTCAGTATTAGAAGTAAAGCCCCTGACAAGGCGATCATTTGCTAACACATTAGAAAAAGACTTTTCTTTCCCACTTCAGATGACACAAGGTTTTTGGTGGGGGAGGTGCTGTTGGAGGACAGGAATGTGAATGTTGGGGTCCAGGCTGCCCCAGTCCAGCCACAAGCTGACTTCTGCTGCAATTTACGCACAGCAGATTCACCCAGTGATAAATCCACGCATCATATAGCCTGTCTACACATTTCAATTAAAAACCTTGAGAACAGAGGTCATCCCAAGGTATGAATAACGGTTCTGGAGATCCTGACAGCAGTGACATTTCACAGAAAGAAATGCCCAGGCACACAGCCCCGAGCTCGACATTTGATACCATGCGTTGTGGGCAGCATTCAAGTGCTAACCCTTACATGCTCAGTTTCCTTCTATTGCATGCATTTTTTTGAGAATAGTTAGTGTTTCTTTATAGTCAGATCTACCTAGTTTTTGCCTGCTAATAACTTCCTGGCCATCAAGAGGTCCACGCCAGGGTTATTTAAATACCTGAAAGGAACAATTAAACCCGCTGTTGAAATAGTAGTCTAGTGGGAGATATATGGTTACTTCCCTCAGTAACACACGCCTCTACACTTGAGTCAGGTGAAGGCGGTCTCTGTAGAAACTTCCGGATGTGCTGATAGTAAACACAGGCTGTGGAGGCAGGCAGTGAGGGAGGACCAGGAGATGCACTCGAAATCCTGAAATGCCGTGTTTGGAAGAGCTGACCCTGGAGCCGGAGACCGCAGAGTGTCCAGAGAATGCTGACCACCCTCGCCGCCCCTGGGACACCTGCAGGATAACCTGCACCCACTAGAATGCCTGGATGGTTCAAAAAGGCGTGGTATGGGCTGGCATCTTTACTCAGCTTCTCCTCCTTTATCCTGATCATTGTTGCCCTGGCAGCGCCCCACTGGTTGAGTGGGAAAATCCTTTGTCAGACTGGAGTGGACCTGGTCAATGCCACCGACCCAGAGCTGGTCAAGTTCATTGGGGATATTTACTACGGGCTCTTCCGAGGATGTAAAGTGCGACAGTGCGGGCTCGGGGGCCGCCAGTCCCAATTCACGAGTGAGTATATTTGGGGCACACAAGCTGTTTTATGACACTTTTTTTTTTTAATTTGTAAGAGTGCTTATGTCTAACTGTGGAATTTGACTTCTGCCTCAACTTAAGGCACGTTGACATTCCTGTTCAGCACCAAGAACATTTCTTTCTTTCCTGCAGAGGCCTTTAAAAACATTAAAAACGGGGATTTGTATACTTCTGTAGTTCACCTCTATTAGAAATAACTATTAAAATATTGAGCGCTTACAAGTATCAGACATTCTGCTAAATGTTTTACATGGCTTCTCTCTCTTAAGCCTTAAAACAAATTTATGAAGAAGGAATTATTAACGTTTCCATTTTGCAGAGGACTACATTGAGACTTGGAGAGGTTATATAACTTGCCTGAGGTCCCCCAGCCAGGAAGTGGCAGAGCCAGACTTCAGACACCTGTCACGTGACTGGGATGTTCTCAGCCAGCCCAGCATGCTTCCACTTCTATTTATATAAAACCTCCACAGGCTGAGAACAGGCAAAGAGGCTGTGTGCCCGGGCTCTGGAATCACACTACTTGGGTTGAGAGCCCAAGTTGGGTGATCCCTGGAGGGGAGCCCTGGGGCAAGATACTGACTGCCCTCCATGAACGTGAGTAGTCAGGGTCATCCGCTGACATCCAGGCTGACCTCAGAGCTGCTCTGGGTGTAAATAGAGCAGAAATCCAAGCCCAGCTTTACAAAGGGTCTTCTGGGAATTAAAAAACAAAGCAAAAAAGTCAATATTCTGCAAGTTTTTAGAATCAACTGGAACGCTCCAGAGAACAGTGTCCTACACAAACATAATTCATCAACATAATGCAATGCAAGGCGATAAGGACTTTTACTCATTTGATTTCTATATTTCAGAATTGTAGTTTTTAGAATCCTGCCCAGGGTTAAATATCTTATTAAATACATAAAGATAGGGGCACCTGAGTGGCTCAGTGGGTTAAAGCCTCTGCCTTCAGCTCAGGTCATGATCCCAGGATCCTGGTATCCAGTCCTGCGTCGGGCTCTCTGCTCAACAGGGAGCCTGCTTCCCTCTCTCTCTCACTCTCTGCCTACTTGTGATCTCTCTCTCTGTCAAATAAATAAATAAAATATTTTTTAAAAAATACATAAAGACAGAAAGCTAAAGCCATTATCAAATATGATAATATGAGCTGGCATCACTTATATACATAAAAGAAATACATATTTGTTATGGATATTCAGGAAAAAAAATCTCTGGGAATATTTATATTTACCCAGCAATTAAATTGGACCAAGGGTATTGGAAAAATAGTTCCATTAAAAACATTACACACACCCACA